GTAAGTAACGATTCTACCAATGGCAGTTTCCAAGATTTCACTACTGGGAAGAAACTTCACAAAACTGTCTGTCGGACTGTGCTCTGTGTCACTGCCGATCAGCTTATCAACGTTAGACATGGCTTTCTTGTATTCCGAAACTATTTCACCGTAGTCGCCATACTTGGTCAGCACATCGATGAAACTACGTGTACTGACAATATTTTTCTCCGTTATCTCGTATCGATCAAGTTCGCATTCTAAATGCTTTGAAACCTGGTCCTTTGCCTTCTTTAAATCTTCCAATAGTTCATCACCGTTTTTCTTCACCTTTGCAATAATTTCTGAAACGTGTCTCGTCACACTGTCGACTTCAGCTTGGTAAAGTTTCTCCATAGCAACCAGCTCACACGTGATCGACTCGGCAGACTTCTTACATTCTTCCTCTTTTTCTTGGAGCTTCTTCAATGGTTCTTTTAATTTTCCCACAATTCCAGGCGCGACGTCCTCCAGGTAACAGTGATTGTGCTCAGGAACTCGATGACCAATTATTGTGCACTCCAGACATATCGGAACATCACACGAAGTACAGTGGTATTTAAGTAGGTTACACTCGTGACCATTCACGCTGCAGCACGTTCTGGGTCGGTTTTCTCTCATCTGTTCGGGACCTGTTTGTTTAAATTGGCTCATAGAGACGACTCGGTGACCTTTTGTCGCTTTGATTGCCGAGTGACATCCAGTGCACGCTGTACACAGATTCAAAGCACAATCAAGACACCGATTCATTGTGGGATTAGTTGTACAACCCTCGCATGAATCCCTTTCCACGCAACCATCACACGTCTTCACAAACTGGACCAACCCGTCGATTAAACTGTTTGAGCTTAGTTTGCCAACGCTTTCTTCAGGCGACCCATTACATGAAACAGGGCATCGACATTGTGGGCAAACCAACTCACCTCGTTTCTCCACCAGCTTTTCCAAACATTCCTCGCAGTAAGAGTGTAGACATGGTAACGTCTTAGCGTTTGTGTAGAAGTCCAGACATAGGCAGCACATCAGAATATCTCTATTGAGAACAGCGCTGTCAGACCTGGCCGCCATGGTTGCTTCAGAACGGCAGGGTGCACAAACAGCGCCATCATATTGTGACGTTAGGGTTTCTTAGAAATTCTGTTGCCAAAACTGATCTCATCATTTCGTGGAACTGATCACAATTTGTTTCTGACTAAATCGCCACTTTTCGAAGATAATGCTCAACATTACATGTAAAACGTGTAAAACCAACTATAGCTTGTCATATGAAATTTTATATAAAAATTGCATTTGACATATGTGACTTAATCCTCTTTCGAAGGTATATCAGGTTTATTGATATAAACCTATAAAACTTGGTATTTTAACTGCAGAAATCATATATACCTTATTGTACCTTATATCCTTATTGTATTCTAATCTAGATCCCAGAAGGGATACGATATCAATAAAGGTTGTTACATTACCACATATAATCACGTAATATATATAAAGGTAGAAGACGTCTCACAGAGTAGACATCCATGAACTCAACAAACAATGTAAACCATGTGTTAATTATAGTGTTATATCACAGGGAGCCCAGTAACTATAATCAACTGTAATACGCAGTCTCTATGAGCGGGGGGGGGGGGTATCGGCTGGTAGTGTAAGAAATAGACAAGGGATTAAGGCTCCAGCCAGCTCACATTTTTTAAACTCGAAAAAACAGACGAAATAAAATAAAAAAAATAAAATCTAAAAAAATACCAGGTTGAAGAATATTAGTTGCTCCTTTGAATTTCGCCAAAGCCTTACCTACATTTTACCGATATCTGCAGAATAAATCAAGAAAACTACACAAATTTACTCCATTTAGGAATTCCTAACGGTTAGTCCGAACGCACGACACCGTTGGAGGCGTGGCCTGTTCAGCATTTGTCAACAACCAATCACAAGACTGGATACGAACCAGTTGAGCAAGGCTAACCGAGTCGTGACCTCGATGTGGTTCGTAACCAGTCTTGAATGTACAAAGTTCATGCAGAGTAGTGTAAATTAGCCACTCATATTTCACCCACGGGTTTTGGTGCGCTTTCCTCAGAATTCCACAGGAAAGTTGAAAAGTGTTACGCCAGTCCGTGGTCGATAATGTTCCGTAACTATGTAATACACCAGAAGAATCAACAAACACGAAGCCGCAGTGTTGTTATCATTGATGCAAACATTTAAAGGAGTATATCTATCACTTATATCAGGCACATCACATACGTTTTTGACATAATTGATTTTTTGCATTCTCGAAAAATCCCTGTATGTGGTTTCTTCAGACAGCTTTTGTTTCACCTGTACACCTGTACGGTAGTTAATCCAACAGGAAACATATTGAATTTGTTTACCATAAATTATATAATGAATGTTCGTTCGGGTGGGCATGCAAGATTTAGACATTATATGAAAAATTAGTTATTTGGTCTCATTGCACTTTCAATAGTTTTCACGTGGTTCAAAACATGATAAAGACCGATTTTTCTGGCGCTGACAAAGCTTATTAATTTCACACGAGGTGGGAAATTTGGACATAACAAACATTGCTTATAATGTAATTATTCAAATAGTGAAAATTATTCGTATTTGTACAACTGTGATTTGAGTAGTCTGGGGACTAACATAACGATTTCATTCATTTGTATTTGTTTTATTATGAGGACTCGTACTCACGATGATAAACGTTAAATACCATTGTACATTCATAGAATATATCAAATTTATTTAATCATTCATACACATAGCTTAAACATTCTATATACATTCAAATAGACAATCTTAATATTTATCTATATTACAAGTTAACATAAAATTAGAATGAGAAATGAGACACACATGATACAATATATGGTAAAATCACACATATGGACCTCAAGCTAATGTATGTATATGATTTTCATAATACATGTAATACAAACGGTGAAAACAATTATTTCAAAATTATAAATATAATTAAATACGCATTGATTCGATACAGTCTATCTTGGGTTACATTACTAGTATGAGTACTGATGAGTGTCATATCAAGCGACTTTAGTATTCCCCCAGTCTTTATTTGTCCTAAAGAAATTATGCTTGGGTAAATAAATAAATTTTTCCACGACGATGTTTGCTTCAATCACTATAGTATCATTTTCACAGTAACCATTTTTGGGGTCAAGGACTGTCTGAAATAATAAATCAAAAATGATAACTTTACTCTATGTACAAGATGTGAGTTATACCAAAGAATATCAAGTAGCATGTATTTCAAACGCAAGTCATTATGAATGGCAATATTTTTAGAGTTACATTTTGAAATTATTCGAAATCACTGAAAACATTATTGACTTTTACCCCACTTATTAACTGCCATTCACTATGACATTGAATATAGTAAAACACAAAATAAAAAGTGGAAGCGTGAACACTATAGCTCGTTTCTAATATATTCCAACTCGTTCATAAAGTATGAATTGACTTACCTCCAAATTAATAAAGTTTTGATAACCACACTCACCAGGTTTTTCAAACAAATGTGTTAGTTCTGTATATAGAAAACAAAAGAAACAATATGTGTTTACGTACATTAAATTTTATCAATCAACATTGAATGTCCCAAACAGCCCGACCCATGTGAAATGTACAGTGTGATATATGCATACATATTGGAAGCTTGTAACATTCATCGTCAACTGTTTTAACTGACCTGTATTATTTTAGATTTGCGGGCACAATAATTGCTCAGACGTTATTTTTGACTTTTGACTACTATATTCATTATATTCCACTTCTGGTATTTAATTTTGATCAGACTATATACACTATACAAACAAATTTCAGTAGCTGTGAATACACTAATACACAACATATCACTCAATCAATCAATCAATCAATATGTATGGTCAATTTGCAAATACACTACTGTAACAATACTAAATGTTGTATTGTCATGTAATATGATATTGTTGAATGTAACATCTAATAATGACATAATGAGCAGCGGGATTAAGTTTGGTGGTCACTTACTCATAGCACAAGGTAATCTGTACCGCTTCCAGTTGAGGAGCTGCAACTGCCCTGTCACTTTACTAGGCCTGAAATATATTTGAATTTGTTACTATTTACTAAGTAGTTACTTTTTTGTGGAAAGATGATATAGTCATCTATAATTATAGTAGTACCAATAAGCAATTCTCCAAATATCAGTAGTCTAGAAACAAATATACAAAATCGACCACAAACCCCCACAAGTGAGTCAGACCAGGTGCACGTGAAGGGTAAGCATCTGATGCTGGCATGCCACACCCGCCGTGATGTTCCAAAGTCATGTCGGAGAAAAATGTTAAATCAAGTTTACTGGACAAACAACCACACCAAATAAATGCAATATTAATGGAACGGAATATGCATATGTCTGTCACAGTGTTACCATTACAAATATATAATGTCTACTCACACGAATTTAGTCTTATTTATATAAGGAGAATGATTCCCGTTGAAAGAATGGAAGGATGAGGCACCATGACGTGGTCTGTAAATACGAAAATAAAATTATTATACGACCAATGAAATGAGTTAGAATATTATGTGTTCTTCTGTAAATCATTGGAAATAGAATAAATACTCACTTGAACTCACTACAATCGTCAGCATTCAAATATATGGCCAAACCTTTCGCGTCACTCTCCTCTATATCTTTCTTTATAGCTGATATCTTCCTATACAATAATTTCAAAAAAAGTGTAAACAGTAATTGCATGAACTCGGCTTTAAAGATGGATTCCCACTTTGTATTATATGGAGAACACGTCCCATTATTGATCATTATTGATAGCATGAAAATGATAAAATAAGTTGGTATGGCAACAAATCCTGATATAATATGGATCCCTGAATGAAATGCTCGGTTATTGGCAAAACGGAAATCCTGCGAATTTCGTAGCTGTTGCATTTACACATTTTACTAAAACAGGCAAAAGCTTCAAACAAACTTTTTCCGAAAATACAACTTTATATATATATATATATATACTCACCATGAGATATTCTTAGCAATGACAGGGGTGCTATATACTTTACTGCTCATGATGCTAAAGTTAGGGATTGTCAGTTGCAATTGGGCTTCGGATTGACTTCCATCTATTCAGAATCAAGAGAACATTAAATGACTTTATTATACATCTGTCACCGTAACGCCATAAGTTACATCATGCCGTAATTTTGCGGTATTTAACGGAATATTTTCATCCTACAATATTAGGAAACGCGAATTTCAAATATGTATCAAGGGTAAATTCTTCTTCTCTGGGGTTCTCCACACTTGCCAGGGGGGAATCTCGTCTCGTCTCTATATCGCGTCCCCTTGAGGTACGGGATCGGGAAAGTCACTTAAACTCTACAGTCAAATAGACGCACAAAACAAAATAGGTTTCAACTCTCGTCTTAGTCGGTCAGTCGAGCACTCTTTAAGACACAGCGCCCTGGGGAAAAGTCCCAAAGACTATCGCAAGGCTGGCCCAAGACTCGCCCAAGACTGCGTCTCAAGACTCGTCCCAAGACTCTCCAGGACTGGACTGCTTCTGTCCTTGTGTGCTCGCCAAGACCAACTAAAAACAACTTTATTCATTTTCAAAACATTAACCAATTACAAAGCAGTATTAAGACTCTAGGGCGTAACCTTCAATCATACAGCCAATCACACTAAGCACTGAACACGTCATATCTATTGATTAATCGTTCACTACATTAATAATTGCGAATACCAACTGTCAGAAATAGTAGTCCAAATAGCGACGGTTATCTCGTAAATAGTTCCAAATCACTGAGTCGAGTTCCGTCCAAAACTTCACATGGCCTAAACGGTGCCAGACATAACACAGCAATTCACTCGTAATCAATTAATTAAGTCGATCAACAGATACGCACAAACAAATTCATCACATATGGAACGATTACGCGCGTAAGCGTCCTCTAATAACACAAACAAACATGGCTGCTCCCGGGTTTGACTAGTCCCCATACAAAGAAGTTCGTTCAATCTGTTCTAAACTTTTTGCATT